AGCAAAAACCATGTACCGCAACTTCAAAAGAGTGACCCCCAAGGACATAACACTCCCAAGATACCCCCCTAATATGTACAATAAAAACAAAACAATACAACCCCCAAGTAGATAAGATTTTGGAAACCCGATCCGGTCCAGCATGTATCCTAGTGGAATCTGCTGACAAGTTTTAACTGTTCAAGTCAGGCTTCTGCCTCTGACCTTCTATCCTCAACTCACTAATGCACTCCGTTTAGTGACCACTTCCCACCCATCCCTCCATTGTGGACAGAGGGAGTTCGCCAGAGGCTTAGTTCCTTTCCAGTCCCACCGATGAATCGTGGGCTCCCACTCTCATCCACAGCCTTCTGCAAACCAGATTCTCAGACTTTCGGCTCTGAGACTAATCTCTCCCTTTAACTCCAGATTGCATGCTTCCCGATCCTTCACTGTCACCGTACTTTCTCATTCTGCATCACGGGCGAACAATTCACGAAGCTGGGCTATATAGAGAAAAACGCAGCCTTAAGATTGGAGGGAGACTCCTTAATAACTGGTGATGTGCAGATGACACAACCTTACTGGCTGAAAATGAGGAGAACTTGAAGCACTTACTGAGGATGGCCTAAGGCTTCGGCCTTCAGGGTGTATACCTCAACCTACAGAAAACAAAATTCCCCACAACTGGACCAATAAGCAACATCCTTGCCACAGTGAGAACAGATTGAAGCTGCCGAGACTTTCCTTTTACTTGGATCCACAATCAGTGTCCATGGAAACAGCAGCCAAGAAATCAAGGGATGTATTGCATTGGGTGAATCTGCTGCAAAAGACCTCTTAAAAGTGTCAACAAGCAAGTAGGTCACCTTAAGAAGAAAAGAACATCTAATCCAAGTCATGGTGTTTTCCGTTGCCTCTTCTACCTGGTGGGTGAATATGGAAGCGGAAGAATGGATGCCTTTGAACAGCAGTGCTGGCAAAGGACACTGGATAGACCAGGAGAAGGAGGGCATCTGCCTTGGAAGGAAGTTAGCCAGAATGCTCCTTAGACTTACTTTGGATCTATCGTCAGGAGGGGCTAGTCCCTAGGGAAGCATATCATGCTTGATAGAAGGTCAGAGAAAGAGATGGAGCCCCTCCGTGACACGGATTGACACAGTGATGACTATCACAATGAGCTGAAGCATCTTCACAGTTGTGGGCATGGCCCAGGCCCAGGCTGCATTTGCATGGGATAGTAGTGAGCCAACAGCAGTGATGGTGAGGATCCAGGGAAACAGGCACGTCCGCACATTGTTGGTGGACGAATAAATTGGCTCAGTATGTTGGCAGAGTAGCTTGACCTTAATGGTCAACACTGTAAATGAAATGTTCAGACTCTTTATTCCAGGAGTTATTCTTTCAGCAATTCATTTTACATACACACTCATGTAAGTGAGCAAAATATATTTCCATAGATACTCATTGCACCATTATTTTTAATACCAAAGTAGGCATACCCCAAATGTCCAAATAGTAAGGAATTGGTTATGATACAGCCGTGCAGTGATATACTATGTCATGATTAAATGGGACCAGGAAGCCCCGATCTTACAGGAGAGGATGTGGAAGGTGAAATGAGGAAATGTAAAATTGTATGTAGATTATAGTAGGATAACTTTTAGGCGCCTTCCAATGAGAAAAAAATTAAGTGGCTCACCTTTATCGCCTTGCATGGATGGTTTCAGTTAATGATCAAAGGTCAGAGCTGTTTTTTTGGCCACGTGGAACAAGTGTTCTTTTCCAGCAGTTACCCTGAGGCAGTCCAGAGCTGGGGCACCTGGCCGGGGGGCAGGCGTGCAGCCACACTTGCTAGAGATTCACGAAAGCTAGAGTCAGGAGCAGCAGAGAATCATTTAAAGAAATGATACGTACGCACTGTTTTTAGATCTACCCATGTAAGGAAGTAAGCACACGTTATATTTGGCATTAAAGGGGCGGGGGGATGGGCAGGGTTGGTTTACTTGTTCGGCACACACTTCCTGAGCAGCTGCTCTGTGGAAGAGTTGAAATTAACTACTGAGAATCATGGCTGGAAGTATCGCAGGGGATATGGCAATACGAGACCACCACAACTTGGATATTTCACTATAACAAGACACTAGAACCATTGGTGGCATTAAAATAGAAGTTCCCCCAAGAACAAGGCCTTCTTGAAAACCTGTGAATGGGATGAAGGTGTAAAGAGCAAATCAACGTTCCATTCAGAGATTCACACACGTTGCTTCCTCTCATTTGTTGCAATCCCCACGTGCCTTACTTCTTCCTTAGGTTTCCTGTTTCCCATTCTCCCCTACCTCTTCCTGCCTTTGGAACGTTGTCCTTGGACACATCCAGCCCCTTTGTCTCAAAGGCTGATTCTAAGGAGTGTACACCCCTGTGATAGGTAGGTTTGTTGTGCCAACCTGGCCAAGAAACATATGTGGGGTTAATAAGGTCGCAGTTTAATTGAAGGGCAAATAGTTCTCTGCCTCAACTTGCGAGCTACACTACTTGTGGGACACCCAACCTGTGGGTCCTGTGGCTATAGTTTGAGGTTCCTTCAAGACCTGCTTCACCACACTGCTGACGTATACATCACTTGAGCTGGGGACTGTTGGATTCTGTCATCTAGCTGACTGTTGGTGACCTGCTCTGCATTTTGCTGCCTGTGGCCAGACTGCCTGAATTGCTCTACAGCAGACTCAGCTGTCTGCTTCCTTGACTTGCACCCAGAAGCCCTCGTGAGTTGAAGGACTGTCAGTGTATTAACTGTCTCACAGAAGTGAGCTGAACTGAGCCATTTGTACTGTTCTGTGGACTAATTAGCTGTTTATTTATGTTGTATCTATCTATCATATATAAATATAAATATAATCATAAGTTTCTCTAAAGAACCCTTTCTAACACAATCCCTGAGTGCTATCTTTCACTTTATAGACCTGCCTGTTTGGGAGCATGAGGGTGATTTCAATGCCACAGTTTCCACCAGTCTCTATCTGACCAGTAAGCTTGGTCTCCTATGATTTTTGAGTTTGAGACAAGTACAGAATGTTTGTCACTTAATAGCCAAATGGTAGTTGGTCCCAAAAGATTATCAACCTCAATTGGGTAGATGTTAAGCCTTGTGGAAATATGGCCACCTGCTAAGCATGTATTTTCTCTTGGTTGGAGGAAAGTAGCTGTTCATTTTGGGTGAACTACATTATACTTGTATGATACCGTTTGGGGCCATGATACAGCCTTTGCACATCGACCAGGTCACCTAGTGCCCTATGTCACAGAACACATGTAGACATTCAGCAACACATGATTGTATTATGTTCAACTTAAATGGCCCACCAAGTGTCTCCTCCCTGGGAATATGACTCCTCTCCTCAGGGGCCTGGGAGAACGTGGAGACATGACCTGAAGCAACGATTTGGATCACCAGAGAGGGTTTATCCTTGGCCCCTGGTTTGGTGGGTTTTCTCATTGATCACTCTCCTAGAACAGATCATGATTTGCTTGGCGACCATTTAGTTTTATTGATGATATTAATAACAGTAACCCTGAAAAGAAAATGCCTCATTTTACAGGTAAGAAAACTGAGCTTCAAAGAGATGAATTACATTTGGCTGAGGTCACGCATGCAGCAACTGGCAGAGTATTGGGTGGTTTGAAAGCTCCTGCCTAAAGTACGCCAACGCCACACTTCCCTTGCGTTTCTCACTTCTGAAGCTCCGTGTGTGGTGGAGCCTTTTCTTTCCTAAAGCTCATAGCAGTGCTGCACTGTCAAAGGAAGCACACGGGACAGGAAGACTTCTTACAGCTGCAGTCTTGTTGTTGGGTGCCATGAGCTGGTTCCGACCCATGGCGTCCTTATGCACAACAGAATGGAACACCGCCCAGCGCAGCAACCAGCCTCACAATCCTTCCTCCACTTGAACCCATGTGTCAGCTACTGGGTCAACCTGCCTTGGGGAGGGCCTTCCTCTTTTTTGCTGCCCCTCGCGTTACCAGGCATGATGTCCTTCTTTAGGCGCTGGTCTCTCCTGACCACGTGTCCAAAGTATGTCAGAGGAAGTCTGGCCATCCTTGCCTCTGAGGAGCATTCCTGCTGTATTTCTTCCAAGACAGATGTTTGTCCTTTTGGCAGTCCATGTTGATTTCAATAGTCATTCAAATGCATGGATGTGGTCTTCCTTATTCAATGTCCAACATTCACATGCATATGAGGCAATTGAAAATATCATGCCTTGCCTCAGGCACTCCTTAGGCCTCGAAATAACACCCTTGCTTTTCAATCCTCCGAGGAGGTCTTGTGCAGCGGATTTACCTAATGAAGCTCCTCTTCTGATCTCTCACTGATGTAGCTTAGTGTATGTATAATTTTGTTCCTTTTCCCCCAGGTAACATTATAATACATGCCTTATTCTGTGGTATTAGAAATTCTTTATATACCTAATTTTCAGTAGCTGCTTCAAAATCCCTTAGTTCAGTGGTTCTCAACCTTCTTAATGAGGAGACCGTTTCATACAGTTCCTCATGTTGTGGTGAACCCCAACCATAAAATTATTTTCGTTGCTACTTCACAACAGTAGTTTTGCTACTGTTATGAATTGGGTGACCCCTGTGAAAGGGTCGTTCACCCCCCAAAGGGGTTGTGACCCACAGGTTGAGAACCACGGCCTTCGTTGGATCTACCTTCCTTAGCTTAAACAATACACTATTATTGGATCTCCCAGTTGTTTCCAAGTTTTCACTGTGAGCAATAGTACTGTGAAGAATACATTTTTATTCAGAAAGTCTTTTCTGTTTATGCTGTTCCCTTAAAGTAATTTCCCAGAAGTGGAATTACTGGTTCGTAGGCTACTTACTATATTAAGTCTCTTTGAACATATTGCCAAAATGAATAATCACCCAAGGGGCTGTACCCATGCATTCTCCTGCCAGCAGTACATGAGCGGATCTTTGGTGTGTCTTTCCTCTAACCAGCTGTTTCTCTTCTTTCACCCAAGCCTCATAAAGAGAATGGCCCAGAGTGTGGTAGAAGTAATGGAAGATGCAAAAGGAAAAGTTCAGGAGAACCTCCTGGCCAATGGAGGTAGGTGGATGAAACTTCTTATTGTTTAAGTGTTCATCTTAGAGCCCTGTAGCCGTAGCCAATGGTTGTTTACATGTGAGTAAGTACATATATGTTCTCCATCACTTGTCTGGGAGTTTGTTGTGCTGTGGTGGTTTGCATGTGGTTGGGATGCAGGAAGCTATGTCACTGGTATTTCAAACACTAGCAGGGTCACCCAAGGTGAACAGGTTGCAGCTGAGGTTTCAGACTAAGAACAGACTACAGAGAACGTATGGGCTGTCCTCTTCTGAGCGATTATCGATTGAAAAGCTTATGAACAGTAGCACAACGTTGTCGGATAGAGTGCTAGAATGATCCCTTCAGGTCGGAAGACACTCACAGTACTCGTGAGGAAGAGCACACTCCTAGAGCAGGTCCATCAGAATGACCTGGATGGGGGGAAACCTGGCGAGTGAAGCCTTCAGGTCCTTCATTTGCTGATAGGGCATGAGTTGAAATGCGAGCAAACAACTTCACATGTTTCTTAATCATTGGAATGTGGATTGTACGAAGTAGGAATCTAGGAAAATTGGAAGTTGTCAGAAATGATACAGCTACTATTCAAATTTACACCCGAACTACTAAAACCAGTCATGAAGAAATTGAAGACTTCTTTGACATTCTCCCGTCTGGAATGGATCAAGCATACAATCAAGATCCATTGACAAGTATTAGCAATTGGAATGGCAAAGCTGGAAACGAGGATGGAGTAATAATTGGAAAGCTTGGTCTTGGCGATAGAAGCAAAGCCGGAGAGCCCAGGATAGAATCTGCAAGACAAACAGTATCCTCCTCTAGCAAGATCACTGCCAATACCATTTTCAACAACATAAACGGTGACTAAACTTGTGGACCTCCCCAGATGGAATACAGAGGAATCACATTAACAATACCAATGGGAAGAGACCACGGAGAAGCTCAAGATCAGCAGCCCAAATTAGGCCCTGGGCTGACTGTGGAACAAACTGTCACTTGTTTATATATGTAACTTCAGGTTGAAGCTGAAGAAAATGTAAACAAATCCTCCACAAGAGCCAAAATATGACCTTGAGGATGTTCCACCCAAAATGTGTGAACATCTCCAAACAGATTTGATGCATGGAACACGAAGGACAGAAGACCAGACTAGATAAGCCAAATGGGAGAAATGATGAAGTCAAAGAACTGAACAGAAAAGGGCATCTGGAGAAGATAAAGTAAAATTCTTTAATGAAATGTGCACAGATCTAGAGTCTGGAAATCAAAAAGGAAGAACACAGCACATCCCAAGATAGAAGAACTGAAGAAAAAATTCAAGCCTCAAGTTGCAATACTGAAAGATTCTATGGGGAAATATATTGACTGATGCAGAAAGCATCAGAAGATAGAAAGAATACACAGAGTCACTATGCAAAAACAAAAACAAACAAAACCCTCTTGAAATGTTCCACTATTTCAAGAGGTACCATATGATCAAGGACCTATGGTACTGAAGGAAGAAGTCCCGGCTGCACTAAAAGCATTAGCCAAAAACAAGGCTCTAGGAATTGATGGAATATCAACTGCAATGTTTAACAAGCTCACAAATCACTGGACACACTCACTCATCTATGCCAACAAATCTGGAAGTCAGCTCTCTAGCTAAATGACTGAGAGAGATCCATATTGTACCCATTCAAAGAAAGGTGACTCAACAGAATGTGGAAACTATGGACCAAGGTCATTAATATCACATGCGAGTAAAGTTTGCTGAAGATCATTCAACAACAGTTGTAGCAGTACAGGGAGCTGCCAGAAATTCAGGCCGGATTCTGAAGAGGATGTGCAATGAAGGCTGTCATTGCTGATGTCAGCTGCATCTTGGCGGAAAGCACAGAATACCAGAAAGGTGTTTACTTGTGTTCCACTGACTGTGCAAAGACATTTGACTGTGTGGATCATAACAGACTACGGCTGGTGTGGAGACCAACAGGAATTCCAGAACACCTCGTTGTGCTCACGTGGAACCTGGATATGGGCCAGGAGATAGTTATTGGACCAGATCAGGGAATACTGAATGGGTAGCAATCAGGAAGGATGTGGGTAGCCGTGAGTCAAAACTTACTTGATGGCACCCAACAACAAAACAACAACAACATTTAATCTGTTTGCTGAGTAGATAACCCAAGAAGCTGGACTGAAGAAAGACGAAGGCTGCATCAGGAGGGAGACGTATTATCAACCTGTAACATGCAAGCAACACGGCCTTGCTTGCTGGGAGCATGGAAGACTTGAAGCACTTGCGGAGGGAGCCCAAGGATGGCAGCCTTCAGTGTGGATTACAAGTCCATGTACAGAAAACAAAAAAATCTTCATAAACTGGACCGATAGATAACAGCATGGTAAAGCAAGAAGAGATGGGAGTTGTTGAGGGTCTCGTTTTTCTCGAATCCACCATCAAGGCTCATGGAAGTAGTCAGGAAAGAAAATGAAGGCCTGTGTTGAGAAAAATTGCCGTTCAGGGCCTCGTGAAAATGTTGAAGAGCAAGGCTGTCACTTTGAGGACTGAGCCGCGCCTGACCCGAGCCCTGCCATTCTACACTGCCTCATCTGCCTGTGAAAGTTGGACAAGGAATAAGGAAGCCGAAGAAGAGTGGATACGTTTGCATGATGGTGTGGTTGAAGACTACAGAGAGAACCGTGGCCTGCTAGAACAACAACAACAACAGAGTCTGTCTTGAAAGACGTATGGCCAGATGCTCTTCGGGACTAAGGGTGGGGAGACTTTGAGTCTTTGGGACGCGTTGTCAGGAAGAACGGTTCCTGGAGAAGGACCTCATCCGTGGTAAAGTGGAAGGACAGCAAACGCCAGGGAGACCCTCCATGACGTGGAACGACAGCGGGGGCTGCCACAGTGAGTTCCAACTCAACCATTTGAGGACGGCGCAGGACCGGGCGATGCTCTGTTCTGCAGTCGAGAGGGTCACGATGAGTTGGCAGGAAAACACTGCTGCCTGGGTGCCACTTCAAATATGCATGACCGTGTGCCAAACAAAGTGTCTGACTGTGTCTCTGATCGGGGGCCTGCAGACAAGTTCTCTCAGCAATGCACTTGTCTTAGGCCCATGAGGGGCCTTCTCACCAAAGATCCAAGGAAAACCGTGGTTTGGGAGCTAAATCCAAGGCAGAGCGGTTAGCTCAGAAGATGCTGGGCACTGATTTGTGGGATTTCAGGGGGGATCATGTAGAGAGATTTTCTCAAAGGTCACAGCATGGTCCTGGGCGCTTATTAGGAAGAAGTTTCAAGAAGAGTGAAAACGTCACAGATGCCAGAAAGGCCAGAAAAACCATTCCTAGGACAAACTTCCATGCACCTGACAATGCACCTGCTCAATCTTTGCGGGCAGGAAAGGCAGTCCTGTGAGGTTTTATGGAATAAAATGGAATATTGAATACTGAATGTGAAGATACATATTATGTATATAGCATTAATATCATTGGTTACGTATATATTCATATTTTTCTGCCTGGAAAACATTAGAAAGCTTTCTGATTTGCTTGTTCAAATTGAGCGATGGAACTGCTCCTACCCCCATGTCGGAACTTTCCTGTATCAATGAGTTACTGACTCCACTTTATTATATTGCAGGTTTGAAGGAAAAAATGCAGTGTCTAAAGAGTAGGTCATGTGTGTGTGCCGTGTGTGCGCTCGGTGTGGCCCCCGCATGCCCCTGGGCAGGGGAAGCTTCAGTCTGATTGCAGGGCTGCAGTGATCAGCATACGAAGGATTTCTTAAGCCATAGCCTCGTAGCCGGGTCACGGGATCCCTGCGACTCAGACGGCAGCTGCTGTGTTCCTTCCCTCTTACTTCTTGACTGTCGCAAGTGGTCCTTCGTGCTGTCTGGAAAGTGGGAAAGGGAAATACTGCAGAGAAAGCCTCTTGTTTGCTGTGTGCTCCTCGCCTTCCTGCCCGTCCACGCCACCTTGCCTGCCTGCTCGTTGGGGCTACCGACATAGGCCGATTCCATGCTGGGGCTTAGCTTGGCATGGTGGGGGTGAGTCTCATTCACACGAGGAGGCTTCTTTTTGTGCCCCATTGGGAAGTCCGTTTGGTCACACAGGTCGGACCTGGTTTGGGTTGTTAGAAAGATGCCGGCTCTGGGTTTTCTCCAGCCTGCTCTGATTGGTAGGATGAGCGGGACAGGCAGGCATGGGCCGGTTTCGCCTAGTGCTCCCGAGTGGGGCTGGATTTAGTCACTGCGCTCAAGGTGCCCTATGAGCAGTCAGCACGCACGCTGGCTCAGGAGAGCCTCCTGAAAGTCCCGCAGCCAAGACCCCTTTGAAAGAGGCCTTCCCCACCACTGCACGGTGCCCAGGGCTTTCAGGCGAGGAGGGGAAACCTTAGGAGCCTGTCAGACGGGGTGCTCACTCTGCTCTTCTTGCTAAATGTAACCTTGGCAAGACACCTCTTTGGGGATCTGTCTTCTCCCCGGCAGGCAGAGTTCATAAGAATGGCTTTATAGGTGCTTTGCTTCACCAGGCATCTTTTTAAAAAAAATCATTTTATTAAGGGCTTATCACAATCCACACATACATCAATTGTGTAAAGCACATTTGTACATTCATTGCCTTCATCATTCTCAAAACATTTGCTCTCCACTTTAGCCCCTGGCATCAGCTCCTCCTTTTTTCCTCTCCCTCCCCGCTCCCCCTGCCTCCTGAACCCTTGATAATTTATAAATTATTTTGTCATATCTTGCCCTGTCCGACATCTCCCTTCACCCACTTTTCTGTTGTCCGTCCCCCCAGGGAGGAGGTCACATATAGAACCTTGTGATTGGTTCCCTCTTTCCAACCCACTCTCCCTCTACCCTCCCAGTATCGCCACTCACACCACTGGCCCTGAAGGGATCATCCACCCTGGATTCCCTGTGTTCCAGTTCCTATCTGTACCAGTGTACATCCTCTGGGTCTAGCCAGACTTGCAAGGTAGAATTGGGATCATGATGGGGGTGGGGGTG